GTAATTTCGAGGACGAAATTCTTGTAAGTAGGGGAGAGTTGTAACGCTCGTTTTATTTTGATTAAATTCAATTATGAATTTTCTATGTCTCGTTGCGTCGTAGTCATAGTTGAGTATGTGTTTGGATCGAAGGAAGGAATTGAATCGGTCGAATTTCAGGCAAAAGTGCAGAATCCCGTAGCAGTTTTAGGAAAACTTCGAAAAATCATATCTCTTGATCCGTAAGTCAGATTTGACCCCCGTTCGAAGTGTTGGAAAGCTAAAGAGATGTTCTATCTAGAAAAAAATTGAGTTTTTCTGATATGACGACCGTCATGGACTTGCCACGACCGTCATAGTAACAAAATTTAGTTAAATGCATAATTTGAACGTGGCTGAGAGTGGGTAGCAAAAAATACATTCCCATATACTCTTTTACCCTCAATTACACCATTTGGGGAAAAGAAATACTGAAAAGAGAAGTTACGCATTGAGGAAAGTTGAGAGCAAAGAATCAACCACCGGCGAATTTGGAGGATTTCTGCAGAAAAGTCACCGTAGAGCGGAAGCGGAACCGGAGAGCGTGGAATTGACCTCAATTCTAAGGTAAGGGTGGGGTTCAATTCTATAACTGTGGGTATGATCGAATTCATGTGGGGAATCGAGTCATAGGTATAGTTTTGGTTAATCGATAAGTGTTAAGGAAAAGGTTTCCCTAATGGGACAAGATTTCTATGTAGGGATGAATGTGTTATGTAGTTATTAGTGCGATGCTCTAAGGCTTTCCTTATGGGCAGATACGTAGAACGAATATGCTATACGGTTATTCGTACAACGCTCTAATGGTTTTCCCTAATGGGCCAAAAAGGACAGTTACCTGGTTGTGATTGATTTGTAATTAATTATGTGAGAAAATGTCGTAATGTTGTTATTACAATAAGATGTTGAATCCTTAATTGTTGAACTGATGTTGATGTTATACCTGTATAGGAATAGTCGTTTGGTATGAACACTTTGAGTTCCTATTTGTTGGTACGATGTTGTAATGTTCTTTACATGAGCAGTCGTAAATGTTGAAATTATGTTGCTATTGTTCCTGTATGTGAACGAGTAGAAAGTGATGGTTGTATGAGTGGTATGATGTTATGATGCTCTGTTATGGACATTTTGGTTGTAGGCATAATGCCTTGTTATATGGTTGTTATGGTTGTGTTGTAGTCCATAATAGATGCATTTCATGGCATAGCATTTGGCCTGGATTGGCGACGGTTGTGCCTGTATTGGCGTTATTTGGAGTGTTGGCTCCTAGATGGGTTCGGGGTGTTGGCCCTATCCCGAGTTTTGGAGTGTTGGCTCCTAGATGGGTTCGGGGTGTTGGCCCTGTCCCGAGTTTTGGGGTGTTGGCCCCTAAATGGTACCACATGCATGTGCACAGTTGAGTCGCATTGTTGAGTCGCATGAAGTCGCATAATTACGCTAGTTGTATGTTAATGTTGTTTATGTGAGATATGGATTACTCGCAGTTGTTGTCGATGATGTTTATGATTTCGAAACCTATAATGTTGTGATGAGTTTCCGGCATGTTTTCTATCATGCTTTATGTTATATTATTGATATCTCACCCTTTTCCATTGTATGTTACCTCCTCTGGTGGTAATTTGCAGGTAGTCAGGAATAGAGCGTAGTTCCCGTTAAGGTGTCGTTGGTCGCTCTGATACGTAGCACTCTTGGGGGGATGGACGATTGATGTTATTATTTTAGTCGATGTTATTGTTGATTGAACTTGTTACGATGTTTTTATTAAATTGTTTTAAGAGAACATGTTGTATACTTTATCGAACTTCCACCGGAAGTAATGACGAGTTGTTTTACGATTAAATGGTTAAGTAATACATTGGTGATTATTCATCCAATTTCGTGCTACGTATGATATTTGCAAGTTGTTGCATAATGATTGTTGTCTGGCAGGTTGAAGTGTAACATCTCTGATATGAGGAATTTTGCCCGTGTGACGACCGTCACAGGCTCATGACGACCGTCATGCAGTCAATGTTTGCGCTGCTGCGTTTTGTTTGCTATATGAATTGTTGTTTTTCCTGTTATCCTCGAGTTTAGATTTGGGGTATTATAAATTACGATGCAAATCCTCGTTTTCATCTACAAGGATATCGAAACGCATTGGATCATATGCAAGAAAAAGATGTAAGTTTGAAACCATAGAACATAGTAGTCAGTTATACTCCTTAATGGTATCATAATTTTCTTTTTATGTGGCAGTTTATATGGATGTCGTACATTCAATATCCGTGCCCAATCTTAGAGATAGCCAAATCTGGAGTGCTACAACTTTTCTTATTTGTTTCTATACCGTTGAAATGCATCAAACGGATAGGGTAAAACTCTAGTTTGGATTTGAACAACAAATCCCTCCCCCGCCAAGGTGTCTAAGGGAACACCACGCAATGACAATGAGAAAGAAAAACCCAAAAAGTTCATTGGCGAGAGTTAAACAAGGAGGAGGTGAGAGAATGGAAACACATAAGACATGTGATTTTGCAGGGGACACTGTATTTGGTGAACGCAAGCCAAGCCAAGAGTATCATCCAAGCCAAGAGTATTTAACTTGGTTTCGTGTCATTCCTTATGTGCATATTGCTCAAGACCAATTTTTGACCGACCCACGCATGCAAGGATCACCATCAACACAACCAACTGCTGCATCAATGCATCAGGATGTGCCACCAACCTACACATCTCAATTTGGGGGACACGCATCTTTGTCAGCTCAGCATACATACCGACAACAAACACCCTACAATTCACTCCCTCAACAAAACTATAACTACCACTACAACTACAACCAACAATATCAACCCCAACCATACCTCTGACCACCCATACAGTTCACTCCAGTCCCACCGCCCAACTTTGACCAGACCAACCCTCATTTCCAATATCAAACCTTCAACACTTCATTCACTCAACCCACCTCCACCTTCACGCCTGATGACGTCTACTACCCAACCCTCCAACAAACCCAACCCGGTACCTACCCACAACCATCGCAACCATCACAATCATTCTAAAAAAATTTGCTAACAGAGGAGCAACTGATGCAAATACCAGATTTTAACATTGATGATATTCTCGATGAGCAACCAGGACCCTCTTCAAGGCAGGCAGACTCCCTACAGCACATCACAATGAAGACATGTCTTCCGACTCATCTCAATCACCAACAAATGCAAATGAGCGTTTGGGCAGGGGATATCGATAGAGAAGGACCCCTAGGTGTGGAACGGGGGGTCATTTTTTTTTATCAAATCTATATGTAACACGTATTTTTGTTTAATAAGTTTTACTGTTGTAATTAATTAATAAAATAATTATTTATTTATTATTATGGTATATTTTAATTTTTATTTAATTATTATATTAAAACGTCTTAAAATAATTTAATATTATAGTGTAATTTTAATTAGTATTTATTTACTAAATTAATATAGTATAATATTTTTTATTTTTAAAATATATTATTAATTAATATTTTATAATTAAAATTATTAACATATTTTATAATATAATTTTCAATATTAAAAATTATTAAATATTTCATTAAATAATTAAAACAAATAAAAAAAAATTTAAAAAATGCACCCCCTTTTCACATGCTCGTCCAATGAGTAGACGAGCACATTCAAAGCCCAAAAAGTCTTCACACACTCGCTCATGCATTACATGTAGGACATTCATGTAAATTTTTTTCAAAATAGGGTATTTTGGATATTTTGTTTCAAAGTAGGATAATTGGGTAAAAAAGTCTTATTTCTTGCCCGTTGACAGATTTACTCAAAGCACCAACCATGCACTGGACTGATGCCGCAGAAGCATCATTCACTTAACTTAAAAATGTTATGACAGACTTACCATTTTTAACATTACCTGATTCACTTAACTTTAAAACGTTAGGACAGAATTACCAGTTTTAACATTACCTGATTTCTCTGCACCTTTTGAAGTTACCACAGATGCTTCACGTGTAGCCATCGACGCAGTTCTCTCTCAACAGAGATATTCTATTGCTTTCTTCAATTGTAAGATGTGCCCTCGGTTATGTTCATCTTTTGCTTATGTGAGGGAATTATTTGTTGTTACACAAGCCATAAAGAAATGGCATAAATGTTTACTAGGCAACACATTCAGTACAAAAGTCTCAAGAATTTACTTACCCAAACTATTCATACCCCGGAACAGGTGAAATGGTTAATTAAACTCATTAGCTACAATGGGTCTACCTGAAACTTCATTCTCATACTCAAGATCAAGAAAATCGTAAACATAGACTGAAAAACATTCTGATCATAAAAGAAGGGGAGATATTATCCATCTTTGTGCACAAAAGAAAGAAAACAGCCAACAATAGAGCAGAGTTTCTTCCTTGCATGTATCAGTTAAAGATGATAATGACACCTGAGAGAGGTGCATTTTAATACAGATCTATGTCTAAATATGCCATCTTCTCTCAATCATATATTTCTCCAGCAAACAATAACAGAGGGATCAATGTCTAGCTTATAAAGTTGATCTCGCTAAACGTCGTAGTATCAACATGGTTTGTTGAAATTAAATGACACATTGTTACATCTATCCAAATATTTGAAATTTCATTTCCAACAAAACCAACCCACTTCACAATAAATTATATAATGACAGCTAGATTTCTAGTGTTATATTTGTCAGTATGGTTATCCAATCCAGAAAAAATTCTTTGAAGTAAACAATGATCCCATAAAGGGATTTTCAAAATATTAAATTACAAACCGATTCTTATATTTTCCATAAACAGTACAAATTTAAATACAGCTTCTCCTCTGATGGGCCTTGAAGCAACCCACGTCGATGATAAGATAATGCTGAATATTCCAAAAAGGAGTCCCGTGAAAACAGAATAGACGATTTTGGGGCTTCTTCGGCAAAAACCAGTTTGCTGGATCAAATGATCATGTGTCTTGATGTTGTAACTACATCCTGCATCGGTAGAAATTCAGCATTTCTTCCTCCAGAGGATGGGTCTTGCCAGTTATGACAAGGCAATGCAAAGGCGCTCCAAAATCAATCAACTGTAACTGCTTCATTGTACCAGCTAATACCATCTGATCTTCACTTCCAATCCGAGCAAGCCCAACACACTCGGTATCTTCCGTATAGGCTGCAAGGCAAATGAGATACTACTGTTAATTTGATGAATATGATTCTTGTAAGAAATAAAACACTCATTTATGAAACAATTGAATTAACACAGTGAAAACTGTATGTCTCCTAATCAGATAGTACTGTAAATAAACACAATGGTTTGCTTCTTTTTTCCTGGGGACAAACTCCCATTGTTCAATAGCAAATAATTTTATAAACCCTGAAAATGTGCTTATTTATTACCGACATTTTCTGGCACGCAACATGAATTGCATACCAAATTTCAAATATGTATCTATTAGTATAATCAAGAAACAAACACATAATTCAGACCTGGAATTCATTCCTAGAGTAATGTAAATGTTCAAAGAACTCACTGGAATCTTCACGTGCTTGTGCAATCTCCAATAACTGCTCAATGGCTGTGTTGATTGTCATATATCTGGGCGGTTCATAGGCTTTTTTCCCTCTTAATAGACAAAAATAAATAAAAAACAATGAATAGGAAGGCATAGACAAAACCAATGAATAAGAAAAAATCACTCAGTGTCGTAAGAATGATTTCCAAAGAACTTGGTTACCCATACTTAATGATCACTGAAACTACACAATCAACCGAAAATAAAGGACAACTTAGAAAACCAACCTGCACAAAGATTCCAATGTAGGCTCTTTCACCCGAATATCTGTAACCATAGAAAAGTAAAAATTAAGTTTATAATATCAAATGCTGTCATCTACTTAGGCCAGTGCAATCACTCAAAATCAAATAAGAAAACATTTCAATGGTTAACCATATTTAAAATATTCACGTGATAGATTTTTGTTAGGGATTTAGCATAACATATTTCAATTCAAAATAGCCTATAGCATAACATAATTCCAACAAATTACTGTTATTTTTTAATATGTTATTTAGTTCAAAGTGTTGATGTCAATTAGCGGCTATCGTGGCTATTTTCCACTATCTAACACGGTTCAAAATACAAGAATTGTGTTTTGAATTGATCAACACAAGCAGAAACAAACCCTTCAAACATAATCATCCTACTTTGTTTTAGTTCAACATGATGATCACATTGCCTTGGGTTTGGATATTTTAAAACAAACGGAACAGAGCGGAATAGATATCTCATTCCATTGTTTGATATTTTAAGATAGAATCAAACAAAATTGTTATTCCGCCCAATTGGGAAGGTACAAAAATGAGGGTAAGTGCCGGAATTGGATGGAAATTGGAATGCATTCCATCACATTCAATTCAGCTTCACTTCATCATATTCCATCAATCCTAAAGATATAATATAACAATCATTCCATAATCAATGAAATTTCTTAATAAAAATGGCAATGAAACAGTCACAAAAATTTCAATAAATTGAGCATAAGTTGAGACTAGAAATACAATACAGTAACCTAACCTAACAAGCAAAGTGTGTGAAGTCCCAAATTCCGATTTTGTTGAATCTTTTCATAGAAGCTATCAGGTCTCCAGGTCTCCGTAAAGAACGGTATCGAAACAGTTTCACCATATCGATATAGCTGCAAACCACAAATCCCAATAGCATTCATAACCGACGCATTATGCACAATTTTAACCTCAACCCCCATCTCCTTCGCTCGAACAACAAGATCAGTATGAGTAGTTGCCCTGCAGAAAACAAAAACAAAAAAAATGAACCAAAACAATACAATTGTTGAAGCAGAATCACATAGATATAAGAGAAGTTTCAGTTTCATACCCGAAAGGATCACCAACAACGAGAAAAGCAACATTAGAAAGCTGAGCTTGAGAGAGAAAATCATTTGCTTTTTCTTCAACCATTTCTCTATCAGCAAGAATAATGGGTTTACCGTAAAGCTTTTCGAGATTGGAGAGACCATTTGAGGAGAGACCAAAGGAGAGGAGAGAAGTGTATGCTTCCATGTAAACCTTATCGCATTTTTGAATTGCTTCTAAACCTTTGAGTGTGATGTCTTTTTCGTCGCCTAACCCTAATCCGATTATGTATAGCATTTTTCTACTTGAACGATTTCTGCTAATGAACCGTGTTTGTTCCTCTTCCTCCCTCACTACCGTGCTCGTGGCGAAACCCTGAAACTTACAGAGGAAGATGACGGCGGAAGGAGGACGGTAGATGACGGTGGCGTGCAGTGTGTAAGTGAAGTGAAAGTGATTGTGTCACGAGATGAGTCCGACCCAAGTCAAGTCTATGGGTTCAATTACTGATGGGCCTTTTTTCTGAGTTACATGACAAGTCTGTCGGGCATCTTAGTGTGGTGTTAATTCGATAATGTTTTTCTTACTATGGAGAAGGGCTATAATCAATCCAACCAATTTTAATATAATTTGAAATTAGATAATGGGTAATGCTAATTTATGTTTTTGGGGCACATGTTAAAAAATTTACAAATAGAAAATATATATAGAAAAAAACAATAAAGTCATTAATTATAAAGTTATATTAAATTTATTATACAATTTTTAAAAATTATTTCCTATATGTATCTCTTAACTTGTGCTCCAAGGACACAAATTAGCATTACTCTTAGATAATAACTAAACTATTGGATTATCTTTATAAATTAAATAAGTTGAATATGAGTGGAAAAAAATTAGTTCTTTTAATTAAATGAATTGAATTTAAATGATGTATAATTTTATTAGTTAGGTTAATAAGTCAATTTGTGTTGGTATATTTAACTTAATTTTTAGGTTTAAATAGTTATTTGTTCCTCGTAAATTAACGAATTTTTGAATTTAATTCATGTATTTTTATTTTTATTTTTGAGTTTTTATAACTCACTTTTGCGTTGTATTTAGTCTCTGATGTTAGTCTTCTGTTAAAAAAATGTTGATTGTGCATACGTGGAATTAGATTATGTGTGTTTTTTTTTATTTGATGCACACGCGGAAATTCATATGGAGGGGTCTCAAAAACAAGGACTTAATCCAAAAAAATCACATTTTGCATTTGTCACTTTTTCTTCTTCGTCTCCTCTTCCTCTCTCGTTCCTCTCTAAGAACTTCAATACTTTACCAAGAATCAATCATGACAACATCTTCTGTAGAGAATTTCGTTGAGTATGAAATCTCATTTTGTGAAAGAAGGCCATAATGTTGAAGTTTTTGTTGACTCTTTCATGGTGTCTCTTCTTTGACTACCAGAAATGGTAGTGATTCATGGAATTTGTAATATGTTTTATTTTAGTCGCTATTAGAATATTGGTTGTTGAAATGCGTCCTTGTAATGTTATATTATATAATGAATCATAAGTAATCTAATTTTTTATTTTCGTCCCTAAATGTTTGTTAGTTATTGTTTTGCATCCGTCTTGCTTAATAAAATGTTTGTATTACATCATTAGTTGTTAATGATATGTTTGTATGTCATCCCTGTTTTGCAATCTTTTAGTTAATATTGTATAACATAAAGGCATTAAAAAGTGATATCAAAATATAGGCAGAAAACACCATACATAAACCAAAAGATGTCTCAGAATTACATATAGTCAAAAGGCATTTAAATGTGTCACATAGTACAACAAATACACACCTAAAAATAAACCATAATGGTGTGATATGTCTCAAAACTAAATAAATCCAAAGGGTCATAGACTTATGTCTAACAATACAATAAAGATTGTATTGTTTCACTGCATCACCTTCAACTAAAGCTTTTACAATTTTTTTTGCCTTCCATACTCTGCTCATAGTTATATCAACTGGAAAGTCACTCATTATCTCAGTCACAATATCTCGAATCTTAACACCATCTGAAGAAGTCATTCTAGCTGCCACAGTTTTAGCAACCCACTTGGAAGTGGCAGAGCTATTATTTAGTACCCTATCACACGTGTGTGTTCCAATCCATTTCTTCATTCAATATGTGTGTTCATTCCCAACTTTACTTACAAGTGCTAAAAACCCACATTTCCCTTGAAAATTATCCTTACTCTAACTTTGTCATTTTTCACAAACTTTAATTGCATATCATTCAATACTGGCCATTCAGTTATTGCCTCATTAAATTCTTCAAGTGATGCAAACTTCAATCCCACTTTAAACTTGTAATTCTTGTCCAACTCATGCATCTTAAACCTTGGGTATTTTGGTTCTTTTTCTCCATTAGAAGCATCAAGGTCACTGCTACCGAGTTCATCACTGACATAGTTGATGTCCATATCATTAACCAAACCACTAGCTGACCTGCATTATCAACACCAAGTCGTAATTTCTTTGGAGTGTGCTTGTGCTTCCTTGTTGCAACTTCTTCACTATTATCAAATGATAAACCATTAGCTACAAAGTAAATATCCTCACTGTCCTCATTATCCTTATTTACTTCAAATTGTTGAACTCCATCACCACCAACATTATCTACTTCAACATTCTTGACACCATCAATACCCATTTCATCTTGATCCACACCACCAACATTATCCACTTCAACATTCTTAACACCGCCAACATTATCCACTTCAACATTCTTAACACAATCAACATCATTACCTAGTACAAGTTATTCTAAACCACCAACACTATCCACTTCCACATTTTCAACACCACCAACATCATTACCTAGTTTAACTTGTTCAACACCATCAACATCAACTTCTTCAACATCACTTACATCAGCTTCTCATGAAATGCATTTACCTTTATGCTCTACATATATATGCATTGCGCATTTCATTTCCATAGCATATTGATATACATTATAAGCATTTGTCTCATTAACCATTCTATTATACCTATCAACATCACTGTTATACCACCATAGCCAATACTCGATCTGCTCAAGCTCATTTAACTCTTTCACGATACATATTGCTTCAAATAAGCTCCACCTATCAGGATCTATTTCTACTGTATGCTCGTTTCCCCCTGTGTAGTATACTAGGCAGTCCCTATATCTACCCTCGTAATGAACAATCAAAGAGAACTCCATGAGATGCAAGCTTCAAAAAGACACAATGGTTGAATATTCTTACCTTCATTTTGAAATCTATTGCATGCGGTACGCGTTAGGTGATCTTGATATCAGCATTTTGCCATCTTCTTCTTCCTCCCTCACATAGTAGCTTCAATGAAGTGTTTCTATTTTTTTTATTAAAAACCCTAATTTACAAGGTCTAAATACAAAACATAATTTATGTACACTATTATATTTCTGGTGGGAAATTTATAAATTTCCACGTAGGTATGTCAATAAATGAAAAACACACATAATCCAATTACATGTATGCACCGTTTGCACAGTCATCATTTTTTTAACAGAAGGCTAACACCGAGGACTAAATGTAACGCAAAAGTGAATTATAAGGACTCAGACAAAAAAAAGATACATGGACTAAATTCAAAAACTCGTTAACTTACAGGGACCAAATGATTATTTAAGCCTCGTATTTATTTATAAATAAAAATGTTAATTTAGCTAAGTTTAATAATAGGAAAAGTTGAATAAGTGTTGTTGCAGTGAGAAACGGATATCAAACTATTAATTAACTTGAATAAAAAATCATGAAGTTCACCATCGAGTTTTGATTTATCCAAAGGAAATGGTAATGATCGAAGAAAACCCTAAGTGCGATACGTAACAACGAAGCTAAGAGATTGTAGGGTTCGGGGTTGGTTGTACTTAGGGAAGGTGTTAGCATCCTAAGTATTTGTAGTATTTTTACAGGAACCTCTTGTTTGGTATTTGTGTTATTGCTAATGTTTGCTTGCTAATGGTTATCTGCTAAGGTAAAGGTGCTAAAGGTAGAAACCTATGTGTTGCTACTGCAAAAATCGAGGTCGGCAATGACAGAAGAGTCGCCACCGTGCGTTATTTATCCCAAGAGAGGGAAAGGAAACGCTCAGAGAAAACCTAACGAAAAGAGGGATAAGATCGGTCATTGCAACCAAATCTCGGGTTCGGGAGTCGGTTACGCAAGGAGAAGGTATTAGCACCCCTCACGTCCGTCGTACTCGAAGGGATCCACGCTTGTTGTCTATCTAAAAAGGGTGATCGAAACTATCTAACTACAGGCTTGAGGACAAAAGAAAAAGAAAGTGAATGGGCAAAGCAACGGCGTTTTGTGCCTACGTATCTCATCTGAAATGAGAAGTCAGAGTCAACGTAGTTCGGCTAACTACGGGTGAAAGAGGGGGGGAAGTTGCTCGTCAAGACATCGCGTCTTGTGCCTACGTATCCTCGTCTGGTACGAGAAGTCAGAGCAAACGTAGTTCGGGCAACTAAGGACCGCAGGTTGGTTCAAAAGTTTTTAGTCCGAGTAGGGTTAACAATTAGTTCTAGCAGTTGGTGTATGCAACTCGACCATTGGAGACTTAGGCGTTACCGTTTGCGGTAGAACTAAGGGTTAACGACACTCTCTTTGTGAAAAGATTTTACTGATTAAGAACCCCAAAGGGCGAAAAAGGTTTGAAGTGTTTTTTTGTGTTTTTTTAAGACAGAGAAGTGAATTGAGTTATGGTTTGAAACTCATGTCGCACTAAAGACTATGACTCGAGGGCGAATGCGTCGCATATCGCCCAAAGGGCATATGCTAAACACTCTAGACAATTGAGAGGAGGCCCCCCAACCATCATTCCTCGAGTACTTAAGGCTCGTAGCGTACGACACAAATCTTTCTTTATTAGGTGTTTTGAAATATTTAAGAGATGAGGAGAGAAAGACTCAAGCTAAGGGAAAACTGGACCCTAAAGATATCATGCACAATACTCCTAAAGTTGGGATGAAAGGGAATGAAACTATCCTAATGTTATCATGCAAAGGATTGAACATCTAATGTCTCTCCTACTCCCATCCTAAACGGATGGACTAGGAATCTTAGGGGGATCATGGCACAAGGCCAAATAAACGCTAAATAAATCACTCCCAAAAAGAAATGAGAAAAGAAAATAAATTAAGATGAAATAAAGAGAAAATAATAAAATGAAATGAAAAATAAAAATAAAGGGATGGAAAATAAAACAACACACTTAAAATAATAATCAAATGATTTTTTTGG